GTATACAAATAATACTTACATTGGACCGAAAAGTCTGTAGATACTTCTTGCATCGGGCTGTCTGGATCCCTAGGGATACTATTTTTGGCAAGTTGGTGTAGGTTGAAGCGCCGGGTATGATTTCGGGCTGGCCTAGAGGAGAAGAAGGACTCTGGGCTGGTTTAGGCTTGACGGCTGTCTTTGGTGTTGCCATTTTACCTGCTGGGCTGCCAGCTGCTGCAGTTGCTGCTGCACTTGCTGGGGGAGGGCATGAACCTCGACAATGCTTCCTGCAAATGTGCTAAGCCAAACATGCTGATTTTAACGGCGAAGCCACAACAACGCCAGCTATCGGCATTTTCAGTTCGTAAAACGAACCCGAATAGACCTTGGCAAGTACGACCGAACGCCTATGCTTCAACCAACAAGAACAACAGCACAGCACATCGCGGGATAACACAGAAGGCGGAAAGCAGGAAGCTGTGAGACTTCCGCGTTGGTCTTGTAAGGTCTAGTAGCAGTCTTCGTGACAATAGTCGTGTCGTGGTTGTGATTGACATTGTCAGTTCTGACAAAGAACCTAAAGTGCTTTTTTTTACCTGATCAACAATATATATATATATATATGAATATACTTGGAGTAGTAGGAGATGAACTAGTAGTGGTGGTAGTAGTCGTCATTAGCAGCAGTATCGGCAGAGGCGGCCTGGCACCACTTAGCACCCCCATGTGGTCCTCTTTCCTAGCACAGTTTCCTTGGGCGACATGCAGGAAGATTTGTTATGTACCTGATGGCCTTGGTGTAGTTCCAGGGGATTCCGCTCCGTCAACGAGCAAACACCACCCTCCTCATCAACAAAAACACCTACAACGGCATCATGAAAGAAAAATGAAACCTCTGCGGAGGGCGCCATTATCAGGGGAGAGATTAGTTAGACGTGTGAGGGCTTTCGGTATTAGGGAGGGTAGGACGCTATGAAGCGGGCTGTATGTGGCGTGATTTGAAGTGAGGTTGGATCTAAAGAACGGGAAGCTCGAAGTTTGATTCCTCTCTACCTGAGCAAAGCTATGGGCCCTTAGCACCCAACACCCAAACCTGATCCAAACACAAGCATATGAGCTATAGTCTAAACTCCTTAAAGGGGGTTATACAGGGAATTATATAGGGGACTACTATAGGGGTTATTAAGGGGGATACTAGGAGTTTAGACAGTGGCTCATATGTTTCTTTCAGCTCACGCCTTCAACTTACTGTTAGGGTAACTGGGCGTGTAGGGATAAGCCCACAAATCAAAAGAGCCAAGGCCTAAGCCCCTTTACAATTCATGGGTGCATACATTTTCAGAACTCTCTCCGAGCTAGCTTTCCACTTTATTACATACAAACTTTCTTACACCAAAACCTTCCATCGACAGGATCGCATCCTTTCCGAGTTGCAGGGGTGCTGGAAGAACTACCTAGCACCTTACGCATGTCTTTCAGCCCTCTTGGGGGGCCTTGCTGTCGTTTTTTGTTTTGCTCTGCGGTTTCAGGGCCAACGCTTTTTCCGTGCAGGTGCTATGGATTTGTGGCTTTGTTCCCGCGGCTGCAGGTTTGGTGTCTTAGGGGAATTCTAGGGACCCTTGAACTTGAGGGTACGTACAGGGTATAGCGTAGGTATATAGGGATCCCAGCGTTAAGGGCCGATGTATTGGATGTTGTTTTGGGGTTCGGGCGGGGAAGGTTTAGGGTTGTAGGCACTGAGGTTGAGGGGATTACCATTGAATTATATGACATTTCTTTCTACCAAAACCCCTACACCCTACCTGGCCAGGTAACTTTGCTTCTGAGGCTCCTCGAACAGAGGGGTCTCACCGAAGGATATCAGCTGCCCCCTCCAAGCCTCACTTGTTTCTCCTTGGTTCTCTGTTTAGGGTTTAGGGTAGAGCCGTTCTCCCTAGGTCTAAGGGTGCCCCGCCAGGGGTCATGAAGCATGCCATGAACCATCCCAATCGTGATAGCTTTATTTTTTTTGTTTGGGGAGGTGGGGGGGTGGGGTGGATGATTTGAGGGATGATTCATCGGGTAATATATCCCATGATATCATCAAAAACCCATAGAACCCCCAGAGCTGTCTCGGGTGAGGACAGCTCTAGTTCAGGGTTTCAGGTTTATAGTCCCGCTCAAGTAGATGGAATATGGGGTATATGGGGGTGTTATTATAATATACCCAAAGCCATATTCTATCTACTTAAGGGGGACTACAGGGTATCTGGTGATTCTGGTTGTGGTTGTTGTAGTTGCTGCTCGTCCTCCTTAAGCTTCTGCTAGTTAGTATTCATCTCTGCATTCGCTGGGGTAGCCTCTTGTGTGAAAGCCCCATAGCCCAAACCAGGTGTAGCTCCGCGGAAGCTCCAAGGAACAGGATGTCAGACTTCTGAAGAGAGATTGCTTGTGGGTTCAAGGTGACCATAGTGCAGTTCGAGCGGTAGTCCAAACTCATTTTTTGACACCCTGGTTCTTTGGAAACATGTCAGGAGCATTGACACCATGGGTCTTTGGGAAATGTCAGGAGTATATAGCTGGATGACAAATGCAGTCTATATGCAGGTTGTCGGTACCTTGAGCCACTTGCCACGGAGGATGGAGTGATGAGTCTTTTGAACTCTGTATATGTGTTTATCTGCTGGGTTCAAAGTCCCCTCCTGACTAGATAGAAGATGGCTTTGGAATGCTTTGGGTATATTATAACAAAGTCCCCATAAACCCCATATTCTATCTACTTATGTGGGACTATATGCATGCACCCGTGCCAGGATGGTAAAGAGTACTATCGAGTCTGCGGTTCGGAAGTGATGCGGCTGAAGGTCCCGTGCGCTTGCTTTGGGGCTAGTACCCCAAGGGTCCATGTAGATTGTATATACTTTGGGCCCAAAGGGGCTCCCAGATAACTGCTTTAAGGCTCGGGTATAAACTATCTCTCTCTCTATATATATACATATATATACAGAACGTGAC